GTCTGTTTTTTTAAATATTTTCCAGGAAAAAAACACATTTTGACGCCATTACTGACGAGGAAGCAGCTGGGATTGTTGAGAGGACAGAAAACTAATAAATCGGTCTGTGAAAAAGTCAGAATCCTCTTTTGTTATCGAATAAAATGAGTCAAAGTGAAAGTGAGAATCCCTGAGTTTTTTTCTTAATCAGCGTTTTCTGTCTGGGTCAGACTTCCTGTTTTGGGTTTTTTGGTTCCTAACTCTAGAGTCTAATCCAGTCTGAGGTGCGTTTGGTTTGGTTTGGTTTGGTTTGGTTTGGTTTGGTTTGGTTTGTCCCTCCCGGGTTTCCGTTCGGACTAACGGATGTTTCTGGGCTGGAAAAAGGTTTAAAACTCCTGTTTTCTCCTCTCTGCAGGTCCAGATTCTGCACAAAAAAATCGACCTGAGCAACGTTCAGTCCAAGTGCGGATCCAAGGCCAACATCCACCACAAACCAGGTGAGAGCCCTCCAGCGCCCCCTGGAGGCCGGAAGAGGAATAGTTTTCTTAATATAACACTAATAATATGCTTTTTTATTTTTTTTAACTTTATTGCCTTAAATGCAGGTTATTAGTTTAGTTTAGTTTTATTAGGATTTCCATTAGCTGCCAAATAAATGGCCACTAGTCTTCCTGGGGTCCTCACATGAAGAAATTATATTACATTATGAACAAACCATTAAAAATAATCACATTAGGAAATAATAGGAACATGAAAAAGAGTAGAAAATATACAATATTTATACACAGGTCAGTTCGTCATATCAAGCATTATCAAGCATTTAGCATCATAGAAGGGAACAGAAAGAGGCAGGAAAAACTAAAAGTTAAATAAAAAAAAATTTAAATTATTTTAATTTATTTATTTTAATTAATTATTTTATTTTAATAATTTATTTTATTTTTAAAAAATAAATAATAAAACAGAAATTGGGTTTAGTCTGTCACACTGTAGAGGGTTTAGCACATATCTTATCAAGTTTTGTACTCCAGGAGAACAAGGATATTTTAGATTTAAAGAAGCCTTAATAATAATGATATTAGTAATAATAATAATAATAATAATAATAAATGGCTATAATAAAAGTTTACAAGAGTCCTAAGCAAAATATTCAGTAACTGGGGTCCACCCAGGTATTTAATCTGTAATTGGTCACATGTTCCATCATGTAGACGTGTTTTACTTTCTGTAACTTTCCAGTTAATAGTAATATTTTTTCTTGCAATCATCAACAGAATATGAATATGTCGCATTGTTCCTTTAAAATATAAGCTTATTTTTTACAGTAGAAATGTCATACAAAATACAAAATGAACCGCTTTAAAAAGAGACAAACCCCAAAAAACAAAAACTATTGCTTTTACGTTTAATGATTTGATCATTTTTTATTAGTACAGCAGCTTTTAACGCTAATATGTTTATTTTTACAACAGAAATGTCATAAAAATACAAATTAACCACTTTAAAGAGACAAATCCCCCAAATAACTAAAACTTCTGCTTTAACCTTTAACCTTTAATGATTTGATCATTTTTTATTAGTACAGCAGCTTTTAAGCAGCTTACAGTAGAAAAAAATCAACTCACATCAGATACAATTATTTAAATTGAAGTGAATAAATGATAATAATAATAATAATAAAAAAATAAAAATAATAATAATAATAATAATAATAATAATAATAATAATAATAATAATAGGGCTGTAATAGAGGAACCCCAAAAACAAGACTTCCACTTTTCCGTTTATTGATTGTATAATTTTTTATCGTTCCTTTTCAGGCGGTGGAAACGTGGAGATCAAACACGAGAAGCTGGAGTTCAAAGTTCAGTCAAAAATCGGGTCCCTGGACAACATCGGCCACGTCCCCGGAGGCGGGCAGAAGCGGGTAAAGCCTCACAAAGACGATAAAAAACACAAAACTTCACACCTCATGGTGCCAGAGCAAAAACCCTGAAGACTTATACGGCAAAGTCTGCCTCAGTTTGACTTTTATCCTGGAAAATGAATATTTTTCCTACTATAACGCTAATAATGTGCTTATTTTTTACAGTAGAAATGTCACAAAATACAAAAATATCCACTTTAAAAAGAGACAATCCCCAAATAACTAAAAATTCTGCTTTTACATGTAATGATTTGATCATTTTTCATTAGTACAGCAGCTTTTAACGCTAATAATATGTTTATTTTTACAGTAGAAATGTCATAAAAATACAAAAATAACCACTTTAAAAAGAGACAAACCCCAAATAACTAAAACTTATGCTTTTTACTTTTAATGGTTTGATCATTTTTTATTAGTACAGCAGCTTTTAATGCTAATAATATGTTTATTTTTACAGTAGAAATGTAAAAGAAATACAAAAATAACACTTTAAAAAGAGACAGACCCCAAAAAACTAAAACTTCTGGTTTAACCTTTAATAATTTGATCATTTTTTATTAGTACAGCAGCTTTTAACGCTAATAATACGTTTGTATTTACAGTAGAAATGTCATAAAAATACAAATAACACTTTAAAAAGAGACAAACCCCCCAAAAACTAAAACTTCTGCTTTACACTTTAATGATTTGATCATTTTTTATTAGTACAGCAGCTTTTAAGCAGCTTACAGTAGAGAAAAATCAACTCTAAGTTTTAATATCAGATACAATGATTTAAATTAGAAGTGAATAAATAATCATGATTACAGGTGAAAGAATAAGAGCTGTAATAGAGGAACATTTAAAGAGTTCACAGTTTTTTTCAGCTGCTTAACTCTACTTAAAATACTTTAAAAAGTATTTAAATTACAGCTCTCATTTCCTGTTTTTCTTACAAATATATAAAAAATGAAGGTTTGTTTCCAGATACATTTCTGAGAAAAGAAGATAAAAGCAAAGCCTTAATGCATAAATTTATTAGGATAATAATATTTTTAATTCCTTCTCAGATTAACAGTGATTTATTCACATATTAGAGAGACTAAATTCAGCTTTTTGTAGAATTACGACCCAAAATAAACTAGTTTTATTCATTTGACACGTAAACTGTTTAATTTAAAGGCAGAAACTGTAGAATCTGAATCTTTAAACTGAGCTTTTTCCATCTCAGCCCTTCAAAAAAAGTGGATTTGCATCTTTTTCCAGCGATTAGACTCCACCGGGGGGGCATTTATCACCGCCATTCC